GAGCATTAAAATAAATAAATGTTCGGTTGATAGGTTTATTGAACTAAATTTCATTGAAAATACGAATTACCTTCACTTTGAATTTAATACAGAACAATTGCATCAATTGTATCTGTTACTTCTCTTAGACACTTATGTACATAATGTAAATTAAAAAGTGTTACACTATTTCATCTTCATCAATAACTCCTCCTTCCGAAGCGTTTGAACAGATCCGCAACAATTCGAAAATGGCATTTTAATTCTGAAACCATGTACCTTAAACTACCCAGCATATTCTGCTATTCCTTGCGTTGACGCGAAAAAAGCTCATGAAAACAAACCGCGGCACCTGGAAGCACGTCAGGTGCACTCAGGAAGATTAATACCTTACTGACACAGCTTCAAAAAGTTCGCCGAGAGAAAAGCCATTCACTTCAAAACGCAGAGCATGAATTTGAAACCAGGCATATTAAATGGAATATAAAAAGAATTTTTATCTTTATTTCGAGCAAATCCATGAGGAGTTATATCTCCTTTCGACTTTGGTCTCAGCAGCTCCGAAAAACTAATGGCATTTCTGCGAAATGAGCAAATCACTCCGATTTCAAAATGGTCACTGCATGTTTTTTTTCATAAAGTAGACTAGCTGATCATTTAAAAGCTAGGAAATTAGATGAATTGTTATTATGGATACACTGATTTATTGTCTTAAAAACTCATGTTTTTGATAGTTATTCAATTCATCCAGAATATTACATTAGGTGTAAAATAGAGTCGTCGGAGAACTGCGTCAATATGCCAAATGTTGTCGGAACAGAACCAAAGGTACGGGACCGCACCAAAGTGCGGGGTGGGGACTGCCCGGACCCAGGGGGCCCACGTCCTTAAACGTCTGTCGAAGGGGGGAGGGGGCGCGTGCTCGCGAGCTGACTGCCTCGCCGTCCCCATCAAGCGCCCGCCGGGGCGGTGGGCCTCCTTTCATCTTCCGGAGGCGAGCTCGACAGCTGCGACCATATTTACGTTCAATTTAATTACGCCCCCAACTAATAACTGGTTCAAGGAGAAGTGGGATGGTGTGGGGACGAAAGGTCGGGCGCGAAGTGGGACGAGAGAGAGCCGGTAGGGAGAAAGCTGCTGCTGCGGCATTTGGGGACCAAGGAACAGGGAATCAACGCCAGCACCAAACATCTCTGCTGTTCATGTGAGCCCAATGAATCTCTTAATGTGAAATATGAAACACGTTCTAAACGTTCCGTACAGATATAGAAATGAAAAACTGCCATAGATAGATTGTACTTGCGTTATGATTTTGAGTTAAAAAAGGTTATGAATAAAGATCCACGCCAGCAGGAGAAATAGTTTATTAAATTAATTAACCTGTCGTAGCAGAAAAAAAAACACGGCATTGCGGAGGCAAAAAACTACAGCCCATTGATTAGGAAAAACATTAAACTTCATAACTTATTGTTTGCTGATATAGTGCAATAAAACAAAACAAAAATTACAAATTCGCACCTCTTCTTCATAGGATCATTCATTCTTAGGATCAGATAGGCACCAACAGTGCCTATCTGATGCCACCGGAACCGTGCACCACACAAGTTTCCGAAGTAAGGCGGTCTTATTCATGAGCCCCAAGGGCAGACATCGGCAAGGAATAAAACAAAGCCCACTACACGCTCAACTTCTTCACTTCACTATCCATATCATCACACTAATTAGCATACCTCGTTACTCCAGATTGGACAGTTTCGAAATGTAAAGAATAAACATTGCCGGGAATCAGAACTTTAGTTTCCTTTCTTGTTGGAATTATCAATATTGGGGAACTCAATTATTTAAGATGATCGATTTGTTATTTACATTTTTTATTACTCTTCTTTCATAATTATATTTTATCATGAAGTAAACAGAAAATAGAATAGGGAATATGGAATGGCGAGGTTTGTTAATTAGTATGACAATACGCTTGTTACAGTTAGATTTGAAACTCAATTTCACGTTTATTGCAGATAGGGGCGACTTTCTGTAATGGGACATCCAAGAATCTAGAATCGCAACTTCTTAAGATGTTTAGAATACACAACAAATTAAAACTAAGTATTCACAACAATACTCTATCGTGGAATAATATTCTCCCTCCAATATGCACTGCAGGAAAGTTATGGTGAGTTTAAAACACTCCACATGTAACTAGTAGACAACAACATAGATTAGAAACGCAGCTACTCAGAAATCTTCAGTTATTGAAAATCCAGGTATTTACCAAAATATTGGTCTACAAAACTGTTATCTTTGAGACATTTATGAGCAAGTATTTGGGTTATGATTAAACATTGTTACGAAACACCCAAGCGGGGCATTCGCACAGAAACTCAGACGCCACGCCAAGTGGATCTATAGACTCTGAGAGAGATGGTATACGAGAAGGGTCATCCCCGTTTGTGACGGTGACAAACTACACCGGGATTCCCCTTAGATGACAAGATATACGTAAAGGGGAACTACGCAACTGAGACGTATAAAAATCCGGAATTCACAGTGCACGTGGCCAAACGGACGAATCACGTGGACTTCACTCGACACAGACCAATCAGACAACACGTGACGAGAGGGGAAGGGGCAGCCGTGTGCAGGTGGGAACCCGGAGACGAAGGGGCAGAAGCATACGTGGAGAGAGGGGAGGCGGACGCGTTTGGGAGAAACTCCCGGGGAGCTAGTGGAGGGAGACGTTCGGGAGAGGAAGACGTGGGAGGGGGGGGACCAGAGGCGCCGAGTGTCGAGTACGTGCGGATAAGAGAAAATCCGGCAACGGGAGTGAGGACTGACGTGAGCGGTGGAGACACTAACGATACCAAAGACATGTGCGACTAGTCAGACGTGTGCGTCCCAAAACGCGCCGGGAATTGAACTGTGGCCGCGGAACCGATGCTACTCACGGCGCCGCGCCACTGTATACAAACGGCGCCGTGCGTGCCTTAGGAAATCTGCGGCGGCGGCGGCAGGGCGAAGCGCTCGGAGCGGCGCGGAGATCACCATAGGTCTACCGGCGACCTCCCACGAGACCGTTCCCGTTGAGGATGGGGGTTGACCCCTTGTAACGCCTTCCGCCCGACGCGCAACTAGGCAACGGCAACTCAATCAGTGTAACTCGGCGGTAAGTTTTCGTGCGTCAAGCAAACGTCTCTCATATGTTAATAAATGTGCTTGAACTGAAAACCGTGATTTTTGTAAAATTATAGTTTGGTGCAATTTCCACGCCGAAGGTCTCCTGTGGTCTGCCATCAACGAGAACATCTCTTTTAATGAATTCTTTCTATTCGTCTCCACGAATCCCTGCAACATACGCGCGTTGCAACAACTGATAAATAATGCTGTTCTAACAGTCGATTGATTCCCATAATCCTGACTTCACCCTCGGCATATCGATCCACTTGCACGTGTGCCTTTAAGCATTTCTTTAAACAAACAAATCCTTCTAGAACCTTCTACGTTGTTTTAAATTCATCTGGCGGGCATGCACATTTTGTTGACCCCCAAAAGCAATGAAACTGCACAAACCTGCAAAACTGACGATCACAATAATGCAACGTTATGTTACAAATATTCAGAATTATCCGCTCAGAAAAGACGCTCGCAAGACGACGAACAAAAAAGACGTAACCACTTTGGAGTGTCCGCCCAAACCGAAGTCCACTCGCATCCGTTAATATATTAATCAGTTATTTGACGTTTCCAAGCGCGCCAACAACTACGGTTTTTCATCCTGGGAGGTGGCGGTGTTCCTCCTTGGCTGGAATGTGAGTTCTGGTCGCCGACCTGCACCTCGACTAGCGGTAGATTTCCCCCCCGCGTCTCCTTCCAGGGCGACACACACCCAGTCCCGGGACAGCCTCTTAAGTTAACAACTGCCCTCCAGGCAAGTGTGAGAATGTAGTTCATGTGAGCGCGTGTGTGTGAGCAAGTGAGGGGAGAAGATAAGACAAGGAAGTGAAAAACGTGCGCGGTCCGCCCGTGACCCATTTATTAGAGTACCGCTCCGGCATTAGCCTAGTATTGATCGGAGAGACCACAGAAAATTTGCAATCAGAGCAGTCGAACGCTAGAATTTTACTTCAGGCTGCGAATGACCTCGAAATAGCTTTCTAGTAGTCGAAAATCCACCGCTAAAACTCGAACCCTCCCATTTAGTCTCAGTAGAGACTCGGAGGCAAGAATGGTTCTGACCTACCTCAGACGGTACGTTAATAGACATGCATTAGTACGATCTACCCGCAACGCAAAATGATGGCAATCCTTTCAAAAAGTGACTTGTAATTCATTTCCAGCTAATCTTCCGCTATCAGAGTCACTTTCGACCACTCGTTTGCGTAAGCAGCCATGGGAGCGCAACGCATTCTCGCTGAGAGCGCTTACATTGATTTCTTTTACTGCTACAATCGTACCTGCCCGGCAAGAAGGGTCCGTTCACCGACATGTCAGGAAAAGCCTGTTTCTCTGTTTCCAGGGATTGAACCCCAAATCGGAACCGACAGTTGCCGGCCAGCATGAATTGTGTCACAAAGATCTAAATATAGCCAATTTACGAATTCTAAATCTTACATTCAACCAAATTGTAACAGGACCAGGTCCAATGTCTGGTTAATAAATCAATGAATCCATTTCTTTTGTCGTCAATAAAATGAAATAATTTACAGAATTTCGACGAATAGTTCACTGCAAATTTGTAACCAATTCACTGACGTGATCTTGGAAAACTACACATTCAACAGGTTTCTTCACATCAACGTTAATGTACATTCTGTAAATAAAGGTGCTTGTTAAAAGGATCAAACTCTTTGTTTCTCTCTACGAATAAAGTTTCAAGTAACAAATCCCTGATGCGTAAGAGCATATATATCCCCAAATTAAAAGTGGTTTCAAACGGAGGCGAGATGTTTACTAGAGGTCGACCTAATTTTTAATTCTCTTATATCGCAGATAGCATCCCTTTCCAAACACTGCATTCGTCCTTTTAATTAATCACCCATGGGCTTTGTTTTGCCATGCGTGCAGGACTCTTGTGCCATTCCTCTGGAGCTCTTGAGTTTGAGAGAACGTGCAAGGCATAAAGCAAAATTAATTTGAATTTTTGGAGCGATAACTGAAAGGCTGGAATATGAAAGAGTGGTCACATGAAGTTAATGAAAATGTAAGATGTTTACCTAGAAATGAAATTGCACAATTACAAGTAAAACTTATAACATAATTCTAATATCGAAATTCTAATGATTTACAATAATTGTATAACAATTAACGAGCTTTTTCTGAACTCTATTTGAAATGACGACGGATGAATTATTGATTGAGAACTAAGCAATGTATTCACGTTTGGTTGGTTAATTGGGTGGTTGGTTCATTAGTGATTCCGGTCGCGTCAATTGCTGAGGCCATTTGTTTCGTTAGTTTAATGTATGTTTTATAGCAGAAGGTGACTGTAATCTTACCGCACTGGATGGCGAAAACCGCCGCCGACCTACCGTCGGCTACCGGGGATCTCCCGAATCAGAAATTTCCCATCAGCGGGGCACTGCTCCAGCCGGGGCCGGGGGGCCTCTAAGCTCCCGACCGGTCTATCGGCATGTGTGGTCGGGTCGTGCATGTAAGTGTAGGATAGGACTAGGAAGGGAAAGGAAAGATCTCGCCCGGTCCGTGGCCCGTTTTTTAGGGTACTGCTCCAGCATTAGCCTGGTGTTGATCGAAGAAACCACGGAAAACTACCGATCAGAGCAGTCCGCCCCTAGATTTCTAGTCTAGACAGCAACAGAACTCGACCTAGTTATCTACTGAATGTCGACAATTCTGTCACTGTGGCATCCGGCACTTCAGTGGCCCTGATCGGAACCCTGATAAGTTGATGTCCTGAACCAGATCTCCCGGTCATAATTACAGCATAATTGAGTTTTGAATTATCGTTGGCCAAACAATTAGCGTTGGCTACACATTACTCGTTAGGCGAGGGGCTGTGATGTCATGAAGAATCATTGATTCAGGTTATCACACTACAGTAATACACGCAAGGGGTGCTACAACACCATATTTTATCGCATTCTTTATAAATTTCCAATTTTTTTAAATTGTGCAACGAAAATAAGACTCGCTCCATTCTTGTAAGCGTACCTTCTAATCGTGGGACAAAACCGAAGAAAATATATAAGCGGTTTTTCAGAAAATTTTTATTTTCATAAATTGCACTAATTTTAAGTAGAAATTACGCAAAAACGACTCGTTTTAAAAACAATAATGTGATAATTTGATGACTCTTTTCTGTCATATATGCAGCAGCTTATGTGGTTGTACTGTACACACAGAATCAGACCTAGGCATATGGTAGTGATAGAATTCAAGTTGTGTTAGAACACCATTTGAACACACGTGGACATGTGATTATACCAGATTAACCTTGATTAAATCGAAAACATCTTTTACTACGTAACTGGGACTACAAGTGACATATAGAAGTATTTGTAAAGAGTTGGTGCATCAAAATGCACTACACGGGGCACATAATTGAAAGGTTTCGTTAAAGCAAAATTGAACAACTGCCACAGCTGTGACGAAGCTGTGGCGTCTGGCAAGCAACTCACTGCCGGTCACACAAACTGCAGTAGGTTGGGCAACATTGCGTAAGCGAAACTGCCAGTGGTGGAGTGCATTCGGGAAAGCATGACCCGAACAGCGTTTGTAAGAGGCCTGAATTAACACATTAGTTGAAGAACCTTGAAACCAAATAAATGAAAATAGCTAGTCACGAACCTGCCACGTCACGGTCATAGCACGGCCACTACACATTCACGGCACGCATACCTTCAGAGTTCTGTCAGCACCAATGGTCTCACGCTTAACCTCACGCTGCCGGAGATACTGTGCGTTGACTTAGCGTGGACGGAGGGGTAAAACGTGCTCAGAGTAACAAAGCCAGCTGAGTGATCCAAGCGATGGAGCAGGAGGAGAAAGGTTATTTGGGAATAGCTTTTTATTTCCATGCTGCACTTAATATAAGACGCGCCCATGGGCACAATTACTACGATATACCCAGTACATTAATATCGTATGAGAGCATGGCCGTATTAACACATGACCAAGACATGCGTTCGTATCCACTTGACCCAAGCTTGACTACCACGTCACCGTGACACACTTCGACACGACAACCACTGTCAAAGCTCTCCCCGCTGCAGGGAGACACTGGGCATCGACGCGGAGAGGGGGGCAAACGTGCTCAGGGTAGCAACCGCGCAGCGAAGCGATCGCGCAGGGGAGTACGAAGAAGAAATGAAGATGACAGGAGTAGAGGAAAAAGAGATAAAGAAAGCGGATGAGGAGGAAAAGTAAGAAGGAAGGAAGAAAAGGAAGGAGGGTGGAGAAGAAAAGCAGGAGAAGGAAGTGAAAGAAAAACCGAAGGAGCGAAAGTATAGAAGGAGGACGGGGGGGAGACCGGGCAGAGCGGGAACAGAGGGACGGATCGGAGGCACGGATAGGGGCAGGAGGGGCGAAGGGAGGCTGATGGGAGGGGGTGAAGCGTGGGCAGAGCAGAGGCGCGGGGGACATG